AGCCAGAAGAGCAAGTAGATCTTCTAAATGATTATTTTGTGATGACATCCAGACCCATTTCAGTCTTTAAGCAAAGCTTCTAGCAGGTGAATCCACAGTATTTGCCCTAAGGATGTTGCAATAACTCACTGATTTCCTGTTTCAAGATGAGTGTCAAGTCAAAGGACTACTCCCCTTCCAGGAAAGAAAAAAAATCCATGTATGTGTGAAATGTAGTTGAATAGAATACAGGTAATAATTTGTGTTTTTATAAATGAATCAAGATGTGAATCAAGCATGGGGAATGTATTTGATCCTCTTAGGATTACATCATGGGTAATTCCATACCTTCCTAATGTGTTTGAAACAGGCATTTCATGTTCCCAGGGGCCACATTTGAAGTCTTATTTCTAGGGTTTCAAGTATTTTCATAGCCCATAATGCTCTATCAGGAGAACAAGTCTGGTCCCATGATAGGTATACTTTATTGACTGTAAGTCATTAAGAAATAGACATTTTATGCTGATCTTTATCAGCCTTGGTGCCAGACTGAGACAAGATGGCACATACTGACAGTGGAAGGCACCAAAGTTGATGGAAAGACGAGATTGCCTGAAGTAACCTGCATGGCCTTTGTCACTCTCATGCTGATCCAATCAAGTCTAGGATAAGCTTTGAATCTTTAAAGGTCACAGCTTCTTCAAACTGTAGTAGAAGTGGTGGCTCTTTCTGTCACCAAAACTGCACATCCACTTGGGTATGTGTTTGCATGTATTCTGTGGGCTTCAATATAATCCAGTGAACCCAAAGATCTATAGAGATTATGGATCATTAGAAAATCTCACTGGCACTTATGTTTATATTATAATTTAAAGAAAATTTTGTGTTGGAGACAGGGTTCGGATTCTCTCCTAGGAAAGAAGGCCTGAGAAAATACACTCTTGGCTCTCTTGACTGGCTTAGATGTCTTCTTCTTCTCCTATACTGAAAACAGAAGGACCCCACTGGGCCTATCTAGTGATAGCTGAAATAGGAATGGTTCTGGATAGATCCTTTTCCTTTTCCAAGAATTTGCCACTTTTCATACCTTTCTCTATTCTAAAACCAAATAACCATAAGAAGGCACAGAGGCTGAGAGCTCTGACTCACACTTGTAACTTCAGCTATTGAAAAGGCAGAGACTGGGAAGATGACTAGTCCAGCAAAGAGTTGGAGAGATCTCATCTCAACCAATAGCTAGCTGGACATAGTGGTACACATCTGTCATCCTAGCCACATAGGTAATGTAAACAGGAAAATCTAAGTCCAGGTTGGGTAAAGTAAAAATGAGAGAGCCTATTCCCCAAACAACTAAAGCAAAAAGTACTGAAGGTATAAAGCAAAAAGTACTGAAGGTATGTCTCAACTAGTAAAGCACCAACCTAGCATGTGTGAGGCTCTAGCTTCAACCGCCAGTACTACCACTACTACCACCACCACCACCCAATGAGCCAAAGAGCTCCCTTCCCATAGCTTAGCAGACTCCTTTCCCTTTCCCCTTAGTATGCTCCTTTCTTAGGCAACTCTAAGCTCATGTAGTAAAGGTAGTGAATAATCAGCCAGTAAATAATCCGCCTCCAACCCCCTCTACCTTGGGATGGCACTTCTCTGGGGCAGCTACCATCATGTAGGGCAACAAGAGCTCCTTGGAGTGTCTTTCAGGTCTAGGAGCTGCAGGGCCACTTATCTACTTATGGGCAGCAGTCATAAATCCTAATCTACCATGATGAAGCCCCTGGTCCTCACATCCACACCAGGGTCTCCACCTCCTAGCCCCTAGACCTCCTAGGTTGTATAGGTCACTTCAGACAATAGCCGGTGCTTCTCCTCACTTCTCCCTTGTGAGAAGGGCTCTTGCCGGCCCCTTCCCAGCAATAAACCTTTCTTTGTTCTCTGTACCTGGATGTCTGCATGGTTTTCTGGCAAAGTCTAAAAGACTCTAACAATATATAATCCCTTATTTCTCATTACAAACACAGGGTTTTGTAAGCTTCATTAAGTCCCAGATGTGAGCACCACCATGTTTAGTATGCCTTCTTGGATTTTGAGACCACGCACTTGTTTCTCATGGTTTTGTCTATGAACCACTAGGCGGAGTAGTCACCAGGAGAAGTAGTCACTAAAAAAAGTAGTCACTAGGAGAAGTAACTTTGCACTGGCCTGGGGATCACCCCACATTTTGCCTCAGAATCATCACTAGGCACCTCCTTTTGATTCTTGGTCCCTCCACAGTTGAGGATTGCTGGTTTATTTACCTGTCTCCTTCCATTTCCCACCATAAGATAACTAACACCAAGAAAAATAAAAACTATCCATGAACACAAGAAAACCATGGTAGAGTAGGACAGGAAAGATTCACTTAGAAAAGGTCAAGCTCCAATCTGCCTGTGGAGAACCCATTCTTGTCAGTCAGGAATAAAACAGTTCCAGATTCTCAGTATCCCCAAGTTGTCACGTTCTACAACATTCAGTTGCTCACAAGTGTGTGTTTCTGAAAGCTGAGCAATCTGCTCGGCTTACTACTCCTGCAGAGGGTCTCCATAAAGGTTATTCCATCAAGAGAACCCTTGACTCCATCCTTCCCCAACCTTAACCTTTCAGAAGCTTATTTAACCACCTGCTGTTAGCCATGCCTGGCCAATATAATTAATGTCTCAGCCTTCTGTAGACAGAAACGATCTCTGAGAATCACTTTTCCAAATATTGATTCATCCTCACGAATTTTCATATATAATAAATATCACATATTATATAATTGGTTTTATGTACATCTATAATGTTTATTAGATGCTCGGCACCATGCTAGGTGCTAGAGATGCAGTTCTGTACAAAACACAGACACCGCCCTGCCCTGTTGGATTCTTAGCGAGGACATACTACAAAAACAATAGCAGCTCTTTCCAAAGCTCTACTGAGCTCATTCTCCACCTCCTTGGCAATGAAATGGAGCAAGAGCAGAGAGAGCCAGGCAATTGTCCTGGCATTTAGGGGTAGCCAGCTGTGAAAAGAATTTCCATTAGATTCAACAGTAGAACCCAGTCATGTATTTGTGGGTCACACTTTAATCCTAGCTACTCCAAAGGCTGAGATCTGAGGATTGCAGTTCAAAGCGAGCCTGGGAAGAAAAGTCCATGAGACTCTTCTCTCCAATTAACTAGTAAGAAGCCAGAAGTGGAGCTGAGGCTCAAGTGGTAGAGCTGACCAGCCTTGAGCTAAAAAGCCAAGCCAGAGTGAGAGGCTCTGAGTTCAAGCCTCAGTACCAGCACACACACACACACACACACACACACACACACACACATTCATGCATGTACACACACACACATACACACACAGAATCCATCCTTTTCTCTGCAGCAAGCCCCTACCCTTGTTTTCACAGAAAACCCCCTCCAGGACATGGACTTGGCAGACAGGATATAGCCTCTGAATTCATAGAGCATTCTCAGCCAAAACCAATCTCTACTCAGAGCAGAATAAAGTAGTTGGTTGTCTGGATGGCTGAAAGTCTAGTCCCAAGACAATGGTGTGTTTATGTGTTAGAGGGTTAGGAGCAGGTTGTTAACATAAAACCCACCGTAAACAGATCTGTTAATTCAGTTGCTGGCAGGGGCTTCTGTTATCTTCTGAATACCTCCCAGAGGGGATAAACCCTTCCTTTTCATTTGAGTTGGCAGCAGAGTTATTTTCTTGCACCTGTTGCTCTGCTCCGATAACAACGCAGTTAAGCATTGATTTGTTGGAAAATAAACAGAAAAAAAAGAAAGAAAGAAAGGCATGTGCCCAAGCAGCCTGAGCTGGTTTGACTGAGCATTCATGCCAATTTGTTTTTCCTATAAAAACCAAAGAAAAACCTGCGTTTTCAGTTCGGATGTCATCCTCCCACACCCTCTGAATAGAAGAAGGTATGGAATCGGCCAGGGAGAGCTGGTCGGCCAAAAAGCCAGAAGACCTTGTACTTTTCCATTAGCTGGTTCCACAAGGGCACTGAGGGGTAGCCAAAGTCTGGACAGCGATATGGCCAGCCTCCAGCCTGCCTGGGTTCAGATCAGGAATCAGATTAAGAAGATGGGGCCAAATGGGAGGTGGTCGAAACTCAAACTACAAGCTTCCAAAGAGCAGATTTCAGAAATCCAGCTTTTCGGAGAGTAGGTGTGGTCTCTGGGTCACCTCCTAAAACAGAGGCTCGACACCCCCAGAATCTCAGACTAGCCTCTCCCACGGATATCCTCACATCCAGCCCTGGGCAAAGGGCCATACTTGAAGAACACCTCCTCTAGTCCTTGGACCATGATATTCCCATTTTGGAAATGAAGCCCACCAAGCCTACCTCAAAAGTGAACTGCAGAGAGTCACTCGGGTTCCATTCTGCCAAGGGATCTGAGGTGTTGCGTGCTGAGGGGTTGTGTTTTATGTGGAGAGGGCCTGAGTGGCTGGACGTGTGCATCCTACCCTAATCCAATCATCATGGCGCTCCCATTTCTCGTTGAGTGTGTTAATGTCACATGATGAGCGACAACCAAAAAGGGCCCTAGACTGCTAAACAAATCACCCAGGTGGAGAGCATGAACAACACTGATTAGTCAGTGGCATCATTCCGAGGAAGCTTTTTAATATCTTTTGGGGCTGAAGAAAAGTCTATGGAGACAGCAGGCAGTGTTTCCCTCCCAAAGCCTCGGGCGTGCCCCTAGTCTTTCAGCCATGGGCCGCATTACCACGAGGCCACTGATTTAATGGTGGGGCAGGACAGTGGGGAAGGGCTGGGGAACTTGGCTTCGCCAAGTGCGCGTTAAGAACAGGGTGATCTGACAGGGGAGGGACATGGCTGGCTGAGCACTCCCAAGCATTCTTGTCATGAGCAGGGCAGGGAGTGGAGTGCCTCAAACCAAATCAGGCAGCAGAAAAAGAAAAGATTTAACAACACCCTCAGTTGACTGAAAAATAAATAAAATCAGCTGCGCAGGAATGCAAGAAGGGTGGAGGAAGGAAAGGGGTGGGGACTGGAGCCAGGGAGCAGTTGAGATGGACAAGGACAATGGTTTGACCATTTTGAGAGTCAAGTTTCCAACCAGGAAAACACCAAGATACTCAAGCCCAGGAGAGATGAACAGCCATCAATTTGGTATTTCACTGACTGAATAATTACAAACGAGAAAAAGGATGACGGCAAGGATAGTTCAGATTTACATGTTTACTGTGTGTATGAATTGAGCTAGGCTTCACACAAATTATGTCATTAAGTCTCACAAGAACTCCAAGCCTCAGAAATAATATCCTCTACTCCCCCCTCCCCCCCTCCCACACATACCACCACCCTGCCATTTTACAGATGAAGAGGCACAGAAAAATTACACAACTTACCCAAAGACAGGGACCTAGTAGCTAAAGTTGGGTGGATTATTAATGCATGTGTTATAGAAAAAGCATGAAAGATAATGCAATTCTCGGTAATTCAAAAATGGATTCTTGTGTTTCTAAAAAGGGGAGAGATGTGAGGATTCTTTAAAAATGGCTCCCTTAACTTTTCTTTTTAAGGTGAATAGGAGGCATATTGAACCCCCTCTTTGTCCTAATCTGAAAGCTCTTCACTGTACCAAGTCATGACCTGATCAAATTCAAAACCTGGACTCAGGGAAGCTGGGAATATGGCTGGGTGGTAAAAGCTGTGCTTACCATGCATGAGCCCCTGATTCCATGCCCAGTGCCCAAACAAAGCAAAACAAAAGAAAACAAAACCCAACAACAACAACAGAAAAAAAAAAATCTTCAGTCTGGCTTCCTGAAAGTCCTGGACTGACTCAGTGTTTAAAGTGGCTACCTGAAGCAGGCTCACACTTATTAACTCTGATAAAAGAGAGTAATAACAACAAGAAACATGGCTGGAAAATTAAGGGGAAATTATGGCTTCTTTGGAGGAATACCTGGTATCTGAGCCATCACGCAAATCCTGAGGGCAGGCCTGTTTCTGTTGGGAATACCATGGTGACATGCAAGAGCCCACGGAGTATCATTCAGGGGTCCTGAAGTTCACTGCTCAAAGAAATCCAGCATCCCTCCCACACACATACACACTGTCAGCACGGTCTACCACCTTGTTGCAGATCTTGCAACAGGACTGTACAAACTTAGTCCTAAAATATGGACAAATGAGATTTATTTCATTCTCATCCTTGCAGCTTGAAAACTGAATAAGATCTGGATTTCCTCACATATGAGAGAACATCTGCCTTAAAAAAAAAAAAAAGAACTTTCTTTGTTCAGATAATCATGAAATGAAAACAGAAAGAAATCGGGACTCTTTCTTTCTTTCTTTCTTTTTAAGTATCTTCCTAAGAATATACACCCTCCCAGGCCAGGTTTATTTTTCTCTTCCCAAACAGATTTTGTTCTGCTTCTCCTAACTCTTGGGTCTCTGTGTCAAGCTCTCTGGAAAATAAAACAAGAAAACCTATCTGAAAGGCAAGCAACTCCTCACCAGAATAGTTTCCAAGGAATTAAAATTCCTGATGGTTTGAGCAGTCCCTCCATTATTTCAGAGGAAACCTTGAGAACTAAACACTTCACAAGCTCAGAAACGATATTCTCCACTCTTGGCAGACCTCAGCCTTCTCCTCATGGCTGATTAGAGAAGCAGGGTGGGAGTATGCAAGGGATCTCTTCCGTCTGCCACAGCTTCCCAACCTCTCAACACAACGGAATTGTCTGCACACACAAACCTTCTCACCACATCTAAGGGCAGAACAAGTTTTGTAATGCACGGCTCATGTAAAAAGAAAATGCAGAGCCCCTTGTTTCAAACTTATTAAAACATGGCACAAATAAGAGTCTTTCTAAGCTCTGGCCTTACGCAACTGCACAGGTTGCAAACCCAGAATATTGGTTGGTCTCTTCCAGGGGTGTTGGATCTCAACTGCCTTTACCCCAACCAAAGCTGTATCACACCCTATTGGGAACAGGGAGGTCTTTCCTGTCTTCAAATGCCCTATTGTCTACCTCATCAGGTGATTCGGAAGATAAACTAAATATGACGTAGATTATGTCTATAACCAGCTTGCCTATAGCCGGCACCCAACAAAGGTTAGCTTTTATTCACATTAGTGTTACTACTATTATCATCTTCATAATGCCAAGATCCCGACACAACTCCAAGAATGCCGAGAGGCAGAGAAAATATATTGTTTTCTTTTGGCAGAGATTGTCTATCCACGAATGGTGCTCAGCCATCATTTCATTCATGACGTGCAGGAAAAGGTTGTAAATTAGAACTTCTTAATCTTTTTATTTGTACCATACGCTATTCTGCAACCTGTTGAGGCCTGCAGGCCCCTTCTCACGATCTTAATTGCCGAAATACTTTGTAAGACATATGTGCGGCATCATAATAATATACGTGCTTCTTCATTAACACATCAAATAAGAATATCTAGTACAAGTCTAATAACTTCTGTGATGTCAGATAATGACATTCTGAGAAATACTAAGCAAAGACTAAAATGTTTGTGACTTCTCTTCACAATAGTCACAGTTGTGGCTAATCATAATACAGATTCACGTTAAAAAGATTCATATTGAGAGAATATCTATTCATAGCAAGAAAAGATGCTCAACTTTATTTAGAGGTTTTTGTAAATGGTAGTAAATATATTGTTGTAAATGGTAATATATATATATTTATATATATATATAATATCCAAGTTTATACACACTTTGAGTCCTCCCCATAGACACCAAGAGATATTTGGACACTAGATAGGCTATTTTACTATCAGTGAGGATTGGCCTGTTCAACTCAGCCCCTAGAAACTACTTCCACATGGCCTGAACATTTGAACATGTCAGCAAGAGGCAGATCCTATAATATCCAGGCAAAATTAGTAAATAGTAAATGCCCAAGGTCAGTTCTTCAGCAGCTGTGGTCAATAGACATCTGGAGACCCTGTCAAGAATTTTAGAAGTGAGCACCAATGTACAAAGGCATTGTCAGTCCTGTGAACTGCCTGGAGGGAGCCTTTATTTTCTGGAGGTTCCTATGGACCAGACATCAGGCACAGGGATAAGAGTATGCTTCCTAAACCCTCCAGGGCCTTCCCACAGCCTCCATGGATCATGGTTTACAGACAGCTCAAAAAGAGGCTTAAGCAGGGGTATAGAAATGAAGGGACAAAGGGTGATCAAATTCAGCAATGGTTTTCACTAGACACTATGTTGAAAATGAACTATACAACTTGTGGCTAAAGACGGGAGGTAAAACTGGGAGAGAACAAGGGAAGGGGTGACATTGTCCAAGAAGAAATGTACTTTACCTGCCTTATGTAACTGCGACCCCTCCACACATCGCCTTTATAATAACAATTTTTTAAATAGCTCAATGTGGAGGTTCTCCATTAACTTGGATTGTCCCATTTCCCTGCTGCTCACTATTCCTACCCAGTGCATTTCTTTCTTAAAGTTACAGTACAGAACCAGAGTAGATCATTATTTTTTTAAAAAAATTGCTTTCAGAAATTAGTACTTATCCACTCCAGCCAAAGGGAGAGTCACCAAAAACAATTAAACTGAATACTTCTCCCTGACTTCTGCAAATTACTAATAACTCACACACATTTTTTCTGGGTGTTTTCATATTCTTTGCTTACCTTAAAACTTACAACATCCCTGTGCCGTATGTGTCATTAACCCCATTTTCCAGATGAAGAACTTAGATGATACCACTTACATAATTCACCCAAAGTCACTTGACTACCCCAGTGGCAGTGTCCAATTTGAACCCAGGTAGTCTGACTCTAAATCCAATGCTCTTTATAGCACATTCCGGCTGCTCACAGGCCATAAAGACTCCTTTGCTACCTGCCTCTTCAGATACACAGCAGTGAACCTCTGCTTTCCAACAGTGTTCTTCCACCTCTGACCAGTGGAGATGCAGGAGCTGTGATTCGGTGCTCTCTGGTTTTCTAAGTGGACAAAGTCTAAGCATATACCAAATTTAGGGTCGAATCCACAGGCCCCTACAAAGACAAAACAAGTCTGGTGCCAGAAGCCAATGACTCATGCCTGTAATCCTAACTACTCAGCAGGCTGAGATCTGAGGATCACAGTTCAAACCCAGCGTAGGCAGGAAAGTCCATGAGGCTCATATCTCCACTTAACCACTAGAAACCTGGAAATGGAGATGTGGCTCAAAGTGGCAGAGTGCTACCATTGGACAAAAGGGCTCAGGGACAGGCCTGAGCCCTGAGTTGAAGCCTCACTACAGATAAAAAACAAAAAACAAAACAAAACAAAAAACCAGTCTTGTCACTATATAAACAGAACCATGTCACTATATAAACAGAAAATAGTTCTTCAGACTACCTTCACTTCGTCCTCTAAAATACTCCATCAACTCTACTAAGGAAATTTTCCAAAGAAGATCCTTTTCCTATTCCAAGAAAAGTTTGTCAGAGCTTTGGAGGATAATTTGCACCAGGCGAGGAGGAAGGCTAATGGAGGGATTGAAATTTCTCCAATCTCTAACTTGTAAGATGCTGGCCCTCAATATTGTTGTTGTTTGTGTATCTATGACATGGAGTGAGGAGGAAGTGGTAGGTATAATATTTCAGGTTCACCACAATTACAACACATATCAAAGAAAGTCTGCAGACAAGGTCATGAAAAAGTAGAAATAAATTGTTCTGCTGATAGCAGCGTTAATAAGGTGCCTCATTAGTTCAATTATCAGACTATTATCAGTTTGGCACTTTGGCTCCTTTTTAAGCTTAGGCTTTGTTTCACGAGAAAGCATGCTTTAAATGCAGCCACACTGTTTATATTTGAAATAAATAGTCATGTACCCTGAGCAATAATTACAATGCTTTCAAGAAAATACCCAAGACACGCTCTGGGGTCCCAAAAGTTGAGAAAGATTGGAGGAGAACGTGAATCCCATAGGCCAGAGTAAAAGGGCCCAGTCCCGTCCAACAAACTGAGGGCAGAATGTGGTTAGGTGCTAGTGAAATCATTTTCAAAGGAGTATTTTACAGGGTGTCTCTTTTAAAACAAGGTCAATTAGTACCCTAGGAACATCTTTAAGTGGGACACCCTGCTTGACCCTGTTACAAGCTCTAGTTACTCCAGATACATGGCTGAGGCCCTCAGGGAACATTCCACGACTTCCCACTGAAGTGACTTTGCAAAGAGAAGAGCCCCGATCCTTCCCATCTGCCCAGTTTTCTTGGACGGTCAGGGTAGCAAACTCACAAGGGCCCATATGGACGGACTGGATGCCAAGGTGCCAAATGCCACCTTTCCAGAGGTGTTTTGTGGACAGCACTGTTAGAGTATCTGCTCCTGTTTTACTTCCTATGCTCACAGCTTCATCCACTTCCACACTCACGCTGGCTTTGAGCACGGGACAAAAACTGATAAAGATGGGGTATGGATGGAAGTAGACTCTTATATACCCACAAAACTCCAGGTGTTGGGTCTAAGTACCTCCTCGTAGTATATCCCTTAGCTAAAGTTCTGAGGGATCCAAGGAAGGAAATTAAGTTTGTACCCAACTTTCCTTTCCTATCTCATCCGTATAGGGCATCTGCCACCCATTTCCCAAGTAGTTTTACTGCCCCCTACCTTCAGACATAGCTGCCCCCTTTCCTTTCTACCCTCCCCCACTCTATCACTTTGGTCAAAACAGCCATAGTACCTGAGGGTTGAAATGGATTTTAAAGATGATCAGGTTTGTCTAGAGAAGGAAACCAAAGTTCAGAGAAGTAGAGTATGGTGCTCTGAGACATAGCTTTGCCAGTTCTTCTGACTACCATCCTGAGCACTGTACCACACAGTGTGCTCATCACTCCAAAGGTAGAATCTGGCCTTCTTCAGAAAAGATTCTTAAGAAAGTATCTTTGCTCCCCAGGATTATTTTGTCAAATAACTCTGAAAGATCCATGGGACTTTTTCCTCTAGTATATCACTGCTTCCTGATCTCATTGCTGTGTGGCTAGAAAACAGGTCTCTCCTGAGATGATCTCTTTGAGGGTATATTCGCCACTCAGCACTGCTGATTTCCCGTACAAGCCTAGCAATCCGGCCCTTTCAAATTGTCCAAGTTAAAGGCACAAAACAATTTTTAATAGGAGTACAATTGTTCATGAGAATAAATGAGAGCATTTTCTAAAACTCACATATGAAAATGTCTGAAAAAGTAAAATATCCATTCTTTGCTTTCAGTTATTCAGAGACATAATAAAATATGGTTGTCTCCGGCCTCTGTGCTCAGATAACAACCCCACCACACATTCGGCTTACTCAAGCTGACAGCCACTATGCTCTGCTTTTGCCAGGTAACAAAGGCAGGGAAAATGTGTGCAGTCTCTAAACAGCACACAATGTCTCAACAAGAACCTCACCCTCAACAGAAAAGACACCACTTTGACATTACCAAAGAGTAAATCTAACAAGAGAAATGGGCTGAAATCGCTGTAAAATGGTGCCAGCAAAGTTCTGATTCACTAAATGCATGGCATTGTCCCTGGAGGGTGTTAGCAAATTCTGCTATGATATTCTTAGTGCCCACATGTCATCCTGTCTCCCAGAGGTCTTTGAAGGCCACCTCTGTTTGAAAGCACACCTGGAGGAAGGAGAACCCTTATAATGTCTGAATCTCTGACTGTGTGACACTGTAGTACGAAACGTTGGTTCTTACACAAGACTTCCAGAAAAGCAATGAAGTTCAATAAACATGACCCAGTGTTCAGGACCCAAATTCAAGGAGGAGTGACAGAGATAAGAAAGGAAATAAAACTTTGTAGGACCCCAGAAAATTAAATTCTACTTCCTTAGAAAGATACTTTGACCCAAAGAATGCACACGCTGACCTGAGACTTAATATGAGTTCCTTCTAGTTTTCAGCTAGCTTGCTGAATATAATTGAATCCACATCGTAACTTCTCGGTTTCCATTTTGTCTCAAACCATTGAGAAGCCAAAAAGGCCCCTGGTAGATCTGGTCTGTGAATGGGAGTACTTCCAAAAACTTCTAAGCTGGGAATCATGGGTATGGTTTGTTAAAGGGCTACAATGGTTCAAGGCTCTTCCACAAGAAATTGCAATCAATGAATATATTAAGAATTATTTTTTAAAAATTCTAGAATGTGGTAACTGATAAAATGATAACGTTTGTATTAATACTATTAATCAATTGAATTCACATAAAATAATCTAACAGTTTGAGCGAATCTAACAAATTGGTCATTTTTAGCACAACAGAATAAATGTAAGTAAATTTGAGAACTTTTGTACTGATCAGACCTACACCAGCATCTTGCTCTGCCCCTAGCTAGCTTTAAAAGATCCTGAAAATCATCCTGAATGATGAGATGAGAAGACTTTAATCTTAGCCATTCTCCCAGTCTTGCTCTTGCTTCCATCAAACAATTTGAAAACACGGTCCAAATGACTCTCGCTTCATTTTCCTCCAGTTTTTAAACACCATTACCTATTGAGGTAGAAATGACATGGAACCACTTGGCTCCGTATTATGAGAAGATGGTCTTGATGAGTTATTTCAAAGTCCTAGAATTTTAAGTGACAAAAAGAGGACAATGGAGCCTTCTACAAACTTCAAAGGTAGCGATTACATTCTTCAAATCCCTTTAAGAGCCTTCTCTAATAGCATTTCCTCACCATGAAATTCTTCCTAACGTCTTTATTAATGCTGTTGGAAATCTCTTCTTCTCTTGACCTCAGGGGAAGTAGCACACAGCTCTGTGTGACACTCAACTTCCCTTTTCCACATTGAAAGACACCATTGGAACTTATCCTCATACCTATGTCCACAGGACCAGGGCCTGAGACACAGCTTCAGTCAGAAAGTGCTCAGAATCCACTCATTCACTTTTTCTCTGTCACTGGGGGTCAGTGACAACAACCACAAAGATATTTGTAAACAGGCTCACAAAATCTTACATTTCATCTAAAAACAAAAACAAAAACAAATAATCCCTGCCTACTACTTGGAGTACCCTACGTTAGCAAATATGTTGGAAATGTGATTTTGCTGTTGCAGTGCTATGATCAACCAACATAAAGATTACTTCTCCTTTATTCCCAGTTCTGTCTATGCAGTAACCAATATTGCTTGGCGGCACACAAACAAAATCAAAAGAGTCCCTATAGCGAAGGCATTTGCTGTTAGTGAGTCACATCTGCTTGTCTAGCCATAGAGCCCATTACAGAGAAACAAAGGGTTAGTTTGTCCCCCAAAATATGGTAAAATACTTTCCCTACATTGCTTTTGATTTTCTAGACAGGGTCGTTTTAAGGGTTCAGCTCCTCCCAATGTTCCTGCTGCCTACTTTGGCTCAGTTGGTCCCTCTTTCCAGTGTGGGGTAAATTATTTTGCCTATTTCTAGCCAGTTCCTAGGAGTTGGAACACACAGATTAACTTGTCTTTCTCTATAGTTTATGTCAGAAAATTATTAGCAAAAGATACCTGTAGAAAAGAAGAGGTTGTACTCAAAGCTCCAACAGCTCCTTAGCCAACCTACCCTGTACTGAGCAATGGCCGAGCTACCTGTCTGTTTTTTGTTTCACAAGAATCCAACCCAGGGGACATGGCTTTGCCATGAGGGCTTTTATATTCACCATGTTTAGATGTCCAGACAATGCAGGAATTCACAGATAACATCCAAAACAGCCCAGCTGCCCCTCAAAATGCGATTCTAACAATACCCAGTGAGGTGAGCCCAGGTAAAGCAAGCTTCACTTCCTGCCAGCAGCCTCCGGGAGTGTGTTTTATTTCATCTGTCTCATTCAAGACAGGCTTCTCTTTCCACTCCGGTATTTGAATTCCAGGTTCAAAAGAAGGTTTAAAAATCAGGACTTACCTCATTTACCTAAAGATTCTGGGTGGGAAATCCAATAGCTCTGGCTAATGGAGAGGAGGCAGTAGGTAGCACGCCAGCTCCTACAGGATTGGGGAGCTACAGTGCTATCACGTCTGAGCCCTCATCAGAGTGAAGATAAATGCATATGACAATAATTTAAAATCATTTTGTACGATGTTAAGCAATAAGCCACCAACCGGGAATTCCCTAAGTCACTTCCCCCTCTTCTGATTGGCTGCCCAGCCCTTTAAAAAAATAAAATAAAGGATTACAAACATTGGCTCATTTGCATTTGGCCAACTCACACATTAGTGTTCAAACAAAACAGGTCTAACCAGGTTATGCCTGTGTGTCTCGAGAACAGAGACAACCTGTTAATGGATGAGGAATTGATTTGGTGGTGACTGTTCTTTTCGGCTTAGTGGCAGTTTCAGGTGAAAAAAATCACCTCACTCCCCACAGAAACCATCAGGAACAGAGAAGGTAAAAATGCAAAACACGTAGAAGTCCAAATCTGTCAGAGGTGATGGTAGAGGGTATGGAGGCCTCTTGAACATCTATCGCATTTTCCAGTCTGCATTTAGAGCTTTGCTTGGGCTGTTCTGGTACCAGGTTTGAAAGGAGCTCCCAGTTCTCTCTCCAGGCATCATCTTGGTTACCTATTCTGACAATGATCTTGGGTAATTTCAGTGGATTTTGTAAAGGCAAATCCCCCAGCCCTGAAAAAGAACCTTGAGAGAAGATGTGGAAAGGAAGAAAAGGAGAGAGGGGGAGAGATTTAGAGAGGGAAGAGACAGAGGCAGAGAGAGACAGAGAGACAGAGAGGGAGGGAGGGAGAGAGAGAGAGAGAGAAAGAGAGAGAAAGAGAAAGAGAGAGAATCTGAAATGGAGAAGGGAGGAGGGGCCCACAATGAGATGTTAAAGTCCAACAATCAACTCCCAACAATGCAAGGGCTGATTGGCTGGAGTTATCTAGGTTCTTTACATCCTCCCAACACGGACATAAATCTTTTTATTTTGTTTTACTACTTGTTGACACTCTGTGTAGGAGCTAGAGGAAAGAGAGAACCAAGATGCTACAACTGGAAAGAAAAACAACATAGTTTGGGCAAGAAAGTGAAACACTGGGTAGGATTTCTACAGGTTTCAAACACCCAAACTCCCTCATATCCCCTGGGACAAGGGTATACCAGGAGTTCGTTTTCTGCTCCTGCTTCATGGGCCACCAAATATTCCTCTACCTGACAAGGTGAGCCATTTCCCTGGCAAGGAAAAATGCCATCCCCCAATCTCTCTTTCTCTCTCTTTCTTTCTCTCTCTTTCTTTCTCTCTCTTTCTCTCTTTCTCTCCCCCTCTCTCTCACTCTCTCGCTCTCACTCTTTCTCTCCCTCTCTCCTTGCTAGGCACCAATCTGGCATGAGCTGAGCAAGTTTCTTGAACTCGCAAGGCCTGCCCTTTGTGGGAGAGGAAAAGGAAATCACATTTTGGGAAAGAGATTCAAAGTCTGATGAAGAAACTCCTTGGCCTAAAAGCAAAGGCTGGCTGTTAACAGAACCAACACAGAGTAGGTGGCCCCTACCTGGCTAAGGGGAGGGGATAAAGGAATTACAGAAGCATCATTCTTTCTTGCTCAGTTTCTTATTTTAGGCAGCATGTATGCAGAGAAGTCTAAAAGTGTAGGGGGGCTTGGAGAGGGGACTCTTGGAATTCCAACAGATCTTAAAGGAGATCTTGAAGATTTGAGTAGTGAAGGGGCAGTTCCATAAAGGCCCTCTGTCTCTCTAATCCCCATCACACATTGCTACCCTCTCGTCAGATGCCACTTCCCGTATTAGCCGAGGGAGAGCCTTGTTAACAAGCAAAGGTGTATGTATGCCTTGAGCCTGATAAAAACAGTAAATGTCATTATTGCCTATTATCACATTAGCCCCAATTAGCTTATCAGCTCCAGATCTGAGATCATGGCCCTGGGGAAACAGCCTGCTGGTGTTTTGCTTGAAAGATGAATCAGGTGCAGTCCAAGGAGCTCAGGCTCCACCCATGACTGGGTACACGCAGGGGTAGGGGTGGGGAATCACTGCTGGTAGCACTGCAAACAGGCAAACTTGGCCTTCTTTGCACTTTTGCCTGAAATTAACCTGACACAGCAGAGTACAGTTCCAGGTAAATGATGTGTGGTCCTGAGGTAGTGAACTTCAAATGCAATGCTTAGTATGATGCAGCTCCTTGGCCCTGGCCAAGGGCCCAACCACCTTTAATTATAAGACCTTTAATTTGTAGCTGAAGAATCCTGGTTCTCTCTCCATTCTTCTTTCCACTCACTCCTGTCAGCCAGATGGCAGGACAGCTTCATGAAGGCACTCTTAAGAGGAGTCATTTTGGGGCACTGGTCGGGGTGGAAAGGAACAGGAGAATGTCATCTCATTCTCAGAAGCCACTTTGTTCGTAGAGGTTCTTATATGAAGTAATTAGCAGTGTGTGTGGTACTTCATGGCTACTTATTGCTGGTTCTTTTCTTCTATCTTAGTTGAACTCCCTAGAAGAAAAACATAAGCAAGAACTATTTATTGTTCCATGAAAAGAGAAGCCAGATAGGCCTTTTGCATCTGCAGGGAAATTCCTTTGGAATATTAAGTCTTTTACTCTATAGTCAACTTCAATAAGATAGTGCTTAAGATGTGAGAGAGGACAGCGAGGAAAGAGGAGGAGGAGGAGGAGAATGAGAATGAGAAAGGAGAGGGGGAGAGAACAGAGTACTGAAAATTGAACTTGATGAGGCCTTTTTTGCAAGAATCTCACATATATCAAGAAAGTCACTCATGGTGAAAAATTCAAGTCGTACCATGACTCCCTCAAACACAGCACACACCCTACATGGACACATGATAAATTCTTGAGAGAGAACCAGGCAAGAGTCTCATTCTCATTGCAGGTCTCCCTCATTTGTTCTGTGCCACCAAAATTCTCTGGGAGAATGAGGAAGGATGTGGAGAATGGAATAAAGAGACAAAGTCAAGACCAAGATAATGTCAGGAACTTGAACCAACTGTAGTCATCCAAGTATTCTATATAGAAACTTTCCTGTTTTTCTCTATGGGTCTTAGACCAAAGGCAGTTGCTCACAGAGAAAAGGGGAATAAAACAAATTTGACTACGCTCGTTGCAGAGGAAAGCCTCTGAGTAAGTTGGTTTTTCTCTTAGAAGAGCTCCATTATGAACACATAGAACCCTAGGGACCTAATGTCAAATCAAGGCTAAGACAAAGAATTTCTCCAAGGCAAGCCCTATGGATTTGAGTCTTAGTACCAACACTCTGTGGTTACAAGGTCACTGGTACTTGTGGGCTTGCTTTACAAGAAGGATTGATGGCTTTGAAGTAGACGTTGGCATTTATTTTTGAAAGCAACTTTGTGTTTGTATGGATTTCTATCATCCTTTTCAAAATTTTTTTATTGTTATTGTAAAGGCGATGTACAGGGGGGTTACAGTTACATAAGTCAGGTACATAAGTCATTTCTTTGTGAACAGTGTCATCTCTTCCCTCATTCTCTCCCAGTGTTTCCCTTCCAACTCCCCTCCACAAGTTGTTTTGTTCATTTTCAAAATAGTGTCTAGTGAGTATTCACCCTTTGTTCACCTTTTGCCCCTCTGTTTCTGTGTTCCCCTTACCCTCCCTAAAACAGATAAATGTACATAGAAGACAAAAGGTACAGAAGACAAAAACAACAACAAAGGAGAAAAACAAAAACAAAATAACAAAAAAACCTCATGTTTCCATTTCTTGGAGTCTATTTCGATAAACATCATTTTATATGAACATATGCACATAGCTATTGAACCTTTGTTATCCTCTCCTAAGAATATTCTCCTGCTCTCACTATGTGAATGTCTAGAGTCCTGTATAATATATCATGTCCAAGTGTACTTATTTTTTACTATCCAGTATATTCACATATAGATTTATCTATCATCTTCTAATGACAAAGAACTACCTCCAAGGCTGGATGTGACAAACGTATGATATCTGTAGTGAGAACAGGCCTGAAAGGAGCAAGAAATTCTTTGGGCTTATGAAACAGGGAAGAGAGAGTCAAATAGAGAATATCGATACCTATTACCCTGGCTATAGTCAAATAAAGAGCCAGGGTTTATAAATATTTTCTTGCCCCCAACTGGTTGAGGTCAGGGCTTAGGGGATCTCCCTGTGCAATGAGAAGCTTCATGGTCTCTGAAGGAGACAATTTTTTCTTTGTGAGGTCACGCATTGACAGCTGTCTTAATATATGGAGCACTTGTAGATTTTACCATCACTTTTATCATCTATGAGCAATCCCTCTTCCAACGCATGCACACACACACACACACACACACACACACACACACACACACACACACTTCAACTTATGAGTGCAACTATAATCTTACCTAAAAAGATTATGGCCTTGCCCTTTATATTTTAGTGATTTCCAGAATGACTGTCCTCACCCCTCCCTTGTTTCTTCTGCCTCCCAGGTGTCTGATTTCTGGTTTTGCCATTCTTCACAGATAGCCTTATACCCTGTCCTGACTCATGCCAGCTTCACTGCTGGGAGAAGCACTTGGGTTCTTGACCCATGCTATGAGCTTCACCACAGAATTTTTATTTGTATCCTCCAGAAAGTTTAGACATATTGGTCACTTCCAGACAGACTTCCAGACTTCCTGTGGCTAGTATTTTCTCTTCTTTTTCTATGGTTAAATGTTTCTTATAAATATAGCAGTTGGCTTTTCCATCCCTTTCCCCGCTCTTTAGCATTACCCTTTCTTTAACTGACAAATTATGATTGTATATATTTGTGGTGTACTACAACATGATGCTCTGATATATGGCTAGGTGGCATGGCTAAATCAAAATAATCAACATGTGCATTACCTCACATACTTATCATTTTTCTGTAGTGAGAACATTTATAATCTACTCTCTTTGCAATTTGCAAGTACACAATGCATTATTATTAACTGTAGTCACTGTGTTGTATAATTAGTGGGAGGGTGGACAAGGGAGTGAGATTGTTTGTTTTTGTGATACTGAGATTTGAATCCAGGACCTTGCATATAGCAGGAAAGCATTCTACCACTGAGCCACATCCCAAACTCAACTATTGTTTTTATAGGTTATTTTTAATTATTTCTTTACCTTTTTTATTAGGATATATTAGTTAAACAAGGTGAAGTTTCATTGTGCCATTTTCATACATGCATACAAAACATCCCAATCAAATTTACCCTATCACTCTCCATTACCCTCTTCTTTCTTAAAACAGTTTCATCCATTTCATTATTCTGTTTTCATATATGCAAATTAGCTACTTATACCCTAGTCATTTTTATTCACCCTCCCCCTCCTGCTGATACCTGTTCACCCAATAGAGCCTATTTTACTCACCCATCATTCCTTTTTAATCTTATTTGTTATGTTTTTTATTTTCATTTATTTATTTTAGCTTAAGAACTCCCCACTATCATGAGACCCTAAAAGATAAAAACAGATTAAAATATCATTGCTGCCTATGGATTGGAGGTAAGACAGTGACAATTGTGGTAGCTCGGCTCCCTTTCCTAGTATCCAGTCTTCCCTGCTATATAATCCTCCCTACTGTGTTCTTGCTCTAAGCCAATGGACCAACAGAGTTAGTGTCACAGGGCAGTGAGCTCCTCCTCACTTCTGTCAAATCAGCACATACCTGCAAGCATGCAGTAATGGCAGTACCGATCGCCCTTTTGTGTTTATCACCGTCTAGTCATATTAAGTGGGCTCCTATATTGCTCCTCAGATGATAAACTAGAAAACATGATTC